TTCACAATTATGTCATAACAAACACATTTTGAATGCTTATATAAATGGGTAAATTCATTCAGTTTTAGTTATATTTCCAACTATTTGTGTGTCTAGGTGAAATATTATTAGACATAGAAGACTACAGGTACCCTGAACGAAATTATGGAGCTAAACATTTATTGGACTACTTTTATAGCCTTTATCACGGTATTTCTATTGTAAGTCATATTATTTATACCGTGCTAAATAATATATTAATTAATTTACCTTTAAATCCCATTTCAAATAAAGATATTTGAGGCGCCGGTACACCTACTGGTCCCGACACGGTGTCAAAGGGCATAATTACGTGGACTTCTGGGAATTTTTCACAAAGTTCACGGACAATGTGATGGTTGGCTACCAAAAGTTTGGCCGAATATACGGCTATTACTTCTTTATGAGTAACTGGCTGATTGTGAACGAACCGCAACTCATCCGGGATATTGTGGTCAAAGACTTTCACATATTTCCCAACAGATATGACATGAATTTAGGCGAAAGTAAGATCTCGAAGGCTCTGTTCTTCATGAAAGGGGACGACGAGTGGAAACGGATCCGCTCTATAGTCAGCCCTACCTTCACGACCGGCAAGTTGAAGGCAATGATGGCTCATATATCGGATATCGCCGACCAGTTTGTCACCAATTTGGGAGTGTATGCGGAAAATGGTTTGTTTTATTAGTATAACTAATATTTAAATATCATGTAAAATAATAATTCTTAATGTAATGTAATATAATTAATGTAATAGGGTGGTTAACTAGTTAGTAGAAATACAGTATGATACAATTACGGTATTTCTAAACATTGTTATATTTTATTTAATAAATTAATTATTTCTACATTTTAGGTGAAGTGGTAGATATGCGCAAGTACATGGGTGCCTTTGCCATGGATGTGATCAGCGCCTGTGCCTATGGTATAAACGTGGAGTCCATTAGTAATCCCAATCATCCCATTGTAGTGAACGCTAAGAAGATCCTATCCGTGGACTCGAGCGTCAGTTATATCGTCTCTGTTTTGTTTCCACCGATCGCTCGATTCCTACGCTTAGAGCCGTTCGACAGAAATGC